TGACTTGGAACAGATCCCGGATGTTGTCCTTCAGCCCGGCAAGTGTGGTGGAGCCCTTGATAAAGTGGACCAAGTGTGTAAATAATTTCCGTGTTTCGGGACCCAAGTCTCCTTCGGCCCCATCGCTGGTTGTCATCGCAAATCAGCATAGATGTAAATACCACATTAACCGCTGATTTGCTCCTGCTTGCTGCAGGACCCAGTGAGTACTAGTCCACAGAATACCCCTTGGGAGGTGTGTTATGTTCTAATTGAAAAAAAAAGTGATAACCTACCTAACTACGAGTATAACTTAACCTAACGTGTATGATCTGATGAGTTGACAAGTGTCTCTGAACCTTTCCAGGATAAAAACTCTCCGTTCTTCTAATGTCTGAATTCCAGCCAGGAGGTGGATCTCAGAATTTCTAGTTCGCTGGGGACTGTTTAGGATCATCCTAAGGATCTTGTTCTGGATCCTTTGGAGTTTGAGGTGATGGTATTTGGCGCAACTCTCCCAGATTGGCATACCGTACTCGATTACGGGAAGGATGATTTGTTTGTAGACAGCAAGCTTATTTTTCAGGGACAGGTTGGCCCTCCTGTTGATGAGTGATCTTATTAAGATGTTACATTTGGTTGTCGTTTTGTCAACGTGCTCACTGAAAATCAGCTTGCTGTCTAGTGTTAAGCCGAGGTAGACTACCTCTTTCGATCATTCCACCTCTGTGCCGTTCAGGCAGATCTTATTATTCTCCGACGGAACAAGTCTAGAAGATTTAGAGTGTGGAAAGATGATGACCTGGGTCTTTGCCGCGTTGATACGGATCTTCCAGCTGTTGAAATATTCTGACAGGACGTCCAGGCCTCTCTGAAGTTTAGCAGTCAGAGCTCCGATGACCCTACCATTGTAGACGATGGATATGTCATCTGCAAACAGATACAACGATCCACCATCAGGGAGAGCCGGCATACCGAAGGTGAACAGGTTTAATAGAATGGGGTCAAGTTGATGCATGTTGAAAGCATCCGATGTGATGCCATTCAGAGAGACTCGAAACGTCCTGTTTGATAGATAGTTATTTATTATCTTCACTAGGAAGATTAGAAGACCGTACTGCTGCAATTTGAACACCAGGCCATCATGCCAGACATTGTCGAACGCTTTTTCAACGTCCAACAACGCCGAGTCAGCTGGTAGACGGTCGAACGACCTTTCCGAAAACCAAACTGTTCCTCGAGTAACAAGTTGTTTTCTTCGGCACATGTAGGAGCCGGTGTTAGACTGCTCTATCGAACAGTCGGAGGCACAGATTAAAAATCAGTGCCAGATGGTTGTAAAATGTGGAACTGAAATATTTGAGTTCAAGATTCAGTATGTAGTCGAAACCTGGGGCCTTCGTTTTTTAGATGATTTGATATAGGCCAATAGTTCGTCAGCCGTAATTTCGGATTCCTCGGGAAAAATATTAGAAATCTGATGGTAGCTTCGTGAGGGCTGACGATGTTTTATCCGAGATTATGGGAGCTGACGAAGTGTTGACCTATCGCGGCAGCCTTCTCTTCTGGAGTTATCTGATGTACCGCTGGGTCGCTGGGACAATCCAGTGGGGTCAGTGGTGGAATGGGTCTTGGTTTATTTTTAAGGATTTTGGCAGTGACGTTTCCTTAACCTCAATCTACCTGTGCACCAACTCTCAAAACATAAACAATTATCAAAATATTGCTTGCAGTGGATAGATATCGAGTAACCTAGAAGATTAAGTGTATTTTTCAACCGATTCGAGTGTGAATATGGCATTCAATCTGGCTTTGAAAGTTGGTGCACAGGTAAAAAGTGAGGTTACGGGATGCCACTCAATTTTGGTTAGATTCCAAAAGGGTTTTGCACAATCTGGGAGAGAGCGGATCCTGTTAGCAAAGTTCTGATTGCTGAGGTCCACCATCCTGGCTTGGATGGTTTTTGTTAGGCGATTACAGTGGGTCTTCGAGACAGGCAAAAGCCAGAACGTTGGTAATGCCTTCGAGTTGAGTTACGGAGTCTAACAAGACCTGTATGGATACTGGCACGTGTTGTTCCCTGGTCCGGGATATCGCCTCCTCGATGAAACGCAAAAATCGGTCAACGTCTTCGGGCGTCTCCAGAAGGACACCGTAGTCGACAGTAAGAGTCGACACAGTGTTGGAACTGATCCCAACTGACGCGATGGTAGTTGCGTCGGGAAGCTTGGAATCGGTTGACGGATGTGCCCACATCGGCCACCACTGGATAGTGGTCCGAACTCACAGGTTGCAAGATGTTGTCTCACTTTTTTCTGACGAAGATGTCGATGGTGGAGTGAATACCAGACCGGCTCAAACGGGTGGGAGAGTTCAGCGCTATTATGGTGTAGTGAGCCTCTTGCAGGTCGTCGTTGAGAATTGTGCCGTTTTGGTTCTGTTGCCCCAAGCCTGGTGTTTGGCGTTCAGGTCGCCAGCGCTGATGTACTTCGCATGCCGTCGAGTTAATGTCTTTTCGCAGGTCTGCTGCCGACCCGTCAATGATGGTGACTTGTTTGGGACAGTAGGCCGCAATGATGGTAATAGGACCGACAGGAGTGGAGACTTCTACACCCATCGCTTCGATCATCTTCAGCTGGAAACTCGGTAGCAGTCGATAGCCACTCCACCTCCGCAGGAGCTGGTCCGGTCTAGCCTTACGAGCCGAAAATCGGGGAGGTGAACATTTATATCCGGCTTGAGGTGTGTTTCGGTGATGACGGCGATGTCAATGCTATGTCCATTGAAGAAATCAACGAACTCAATGATTTTGCTCTTGAGCGAGCAAGCGTCCCAGTTGACTATGTTGATGGCTTCACGGTCTATACTTTTGCAAGAGGGACACGCGAAGCTGATCAGGTAATGTCTTGGTGGTGCGCAAGATTTTGATCACCTCAGTCACAAGGATCACTAGTTCGTCGCTTGTGAGTGGAGAATTGTCTTCTGCATGCTTGGCATACACAATTTTGCTCGCGAACTGCTCATTTGCTAATAGCTTTACACAGAGTTGACGAAATATAGTTCTGTTTGAAGCAGTCGATTGAATAGAGTTTAAGCTTCTTATAGATACGTAAAAAAGGAGATTTTAATTCTAGTAATAAACTGTATTTGATTTTGCGTTGCAAAAATGAAGTAAGAAATGCTCGCTGCACATCTCGAACTTTAAGTGTAAAAATTCATGGGTGTTGATTCAAATGATTAGATTTACCTACTCTTTGCATGTCTGCAGTAAACTATGATCCTAATCTTCTTCTTCTTCATCGCATTTCAAGCTTATTGCGTACGGCATATTAGCTTATTGCGTGCTCTCAACTTAGTGTTCTAGATGCACTTCCACAGTTATTGATTGAGAGCTTTCGATGCCTATACCATTTTTGCATTAGTATAATTGTGTGGCAAGTACAATCATACTCTATGCCCAGGGAAGTAGAGAAATTTTCCAACCCGAAAAATCCGGGGATCGAACCCAGCCAACTCCTGCATGGCCTTGCTTTGTAGCTGTGCCTTTACCGACTGAGCTAAGGGAGGTCCCATGATCCTAATCTATCAATTACTTTAAAGAAATCTAATTTTCAACAACTGAGTAAAAAGTTATTAACAAATGAGCAGTTGGTGTGTACAACTGTGCATGCCAAGCATGGTCTTCTGACTCACCTAACACAGCACGGGCGTACGATAATCCCGGCCCAGCCATGGCTCGGCAGCGTCAGTGAGACGATGCTGAACTGTACGGTGGCTGGGACCCACTAGATCTGATGGTGGAAGTTTGGTGGAAGCGGTGCTAGATTCAGGACCATACAACGAGCCTGAAGTACTGGAAACGTGTCCATGTTGAGAGTAGGAGCACGATTATTGCGGTGGAGACCGGGTTGGTTCCTCGTGGAAGCCTGTTGTCGGATCAGAATGAAGGGTGCTCGCTTGCGACATCTCTTATCGCTGCCCAGGTGGTTGGAATCACAGCTCACGCACTTAGAATCACTATCTTATTCCTTCTTGCAGGCGGTAGTATTGTGAGTCCCAGCAGTCCAGCACATTAGCCACAACGAGCCTTCATGTGAAAATTATTAATACCGTGCCCAAATGCCAGACAATTAGTGCACTGTGTCACGTAACAGTGCCGAGGGCGAATGAATGCTCCCACTGAATCACGATATTGAACAGCGCGTGAATCTGCCGCAGAGCAGCCAGACTGGTGTAGCCCTTATCGAAGTGCACCAGGTACAACTGGTCCCGTAATGCACTGGTTTCATCACGTCTAGCAATGGGAAAAAAATTGATTGGTTGCAGATGAAGGCGCTCCAATTCCGTGGAAAACCATGGATCACCATTTTCAGTGGTTTGCTTCCAGTTACATCGTGAGTATAGAACTCAAACCGGTTCAGCTGTGTGCCAACAGCTTTGTAGTCCGCCAGCGTCGAGCACAACGAACGACTCGAAAGAGCTAGTGAAAAGAAACCCGGACTGTACAACTTGACGGTTTGTTTACCTCTACCCTTGTGCAGCATGGACAGTGATGTTTCACTATATAGACCTGGCACTATGATCCTCTTCTGTGCTTGAAATTGAAATTGAAAATGAAATAAACTCGAAGCTTTCTGCTCTAAGCGAAACAGCTTCAAAATATTCCGCGAAATACCGTGAAATTCATACAACCTCCAAAGATCGAGAACTGTCCTGGCCACGTCCTTAAAACTGATGGTGATATGAAAGTAAGGGTATGCGATATATCGAATATTCGAGTATTGATCTCATTTAAGACTATACATCCAGTACTGCAGTCTGCTTAAGGTGATACTCTAGGGAAGCCATAGCGTGAAACTTCAAAGGCACAAATGTCAGCTTCTACAAAACATACAAATTTGAAATTGCTTCTCTCTGTTTGTAGTGGCACAGCAAGCAAGGAGTAGCAATTTCAAATTTGTTATGTTATAAAAGGAAACAATATTCTCATTCTCAATATATACTTTTCTTTATCATTACAGGTCCTTCGCACCGCTGCGAGCTGGTCTACTTGATCCACGAAACCATCTTCTACGCCACGCAACTAATCGAGCTGGGGAAATTCGATTCCAGTTACTCAACCGTGTGCTCATTCTACTTGAACAACTTTCTCGAGCTTCTACTAACCGAAGAAGCGGACCTTAAAGCAGAGGATCACAAGCTGGGTGAAGTCCTCGAGAACATCTTTTGCCACCGTCCCGTTCTCTATCAGCACTTCACCATCGCCAATCAGAAAAGCGAAACCTCCACTGTCGTAACGAACTTCATCTACGAACTGATGAAGAAGTTGCAATCGGTGCCAAGCTTTTCCCACTACACGATGCTGTATTCGAACAAGATCGTCAACGAAATCATTTCCTCGTCGGCGAAGAAGAGTAGCTTTGAGTTGAATTCATCACTGATGGAGAAGTTGCTGGAGATTTTCCAACTGAACGAGCGACACTGTGTCAGTTTGCTGAAACACTACTCTAAGCTATCGCATAGAAAGTTCATCAACGAGAAAAATGAGAAAACCTATCACTTCAATTTGCTGACGACGGGATTGCAAAAGTTGGCTGGTAATCGTGACCACTTTCTGGATCGCGAAACAATTGGCAGTATTTCCCAGATCTACGTGGATTTTATTCGGGAGAATGGGAACGAGTTAAATTTGGAGACTTTGGAAGTGGCTCTGCAAAATTACTTGGATACGTTCAGTCACAACATTGGCCATCTGAAGGTGGATTTCTTCCGGTGCTTCTTCGAAAGTAAGCGCATCGGAAAGCCGATGGTTAAATTGGCGGCCTTCCTACTGGGAAGAGATACTCGATTGAGCAGTGTTTTCCTTGAGTTGATTCAAGGAAATGTTGCGAAGAAGGAACTGGTTTATCCACTGATAAACGTTGCCTTTGCAAAAGGAGTCTTTGAGGGAAACTCGGAAAGTACCAAAAAAATTCTAAATGTGGTCTACAGTGAGTTCAAGAGTGGTATCAGCAAAACTATCGAAAAACCTGGTAAGGCAGCTGTTATATACAAGGAGAACTCAATCGCTAACCAGCAACTGATCCGTATCTGCATGCCCAAGAACGAATGTGTGGATTTCGCTAAGAAGAAGCTGAAAATCGATTCCTTGGAAGTGTACCAGCTCAAGCTGATGATGGAAATCTACCGGAAAGCCCTCGACGGCACAAAGAATGATGCTGCTCAGGATAAGGTTGTCTACGTGAACGTTATCAATGTTCTGCTGCAATTCTACAACATTTTGCTGAAGGTTGGAGACCTTCTCAAAGAAGTGAATAAACTGAATGAGTTGATTTTGGAGACATTCTCGTGGGTTCAATTGGGCAAGACTTGCAAACACTTGAGCGACATGGAATTCAAAGAAATTACTGACACTGCCAATTGGTCTAATTTCTGCAAGTTTGCTCTAAAGCTTGGAATCGACATTCAAAAGTCCCCAGATCATCCCAATCGGCACGATGAACGGCTGCATGTGCTGCTGAAAATCGCCGCCGTATTGGTAGATCTGTTCTACAAGGACAACAGCTCACCTCCGGATGTGGCCACTTTTTACGAATTGACTTTGTCTCATTCCCGCTTCCTGGACGTCCTGCTGGTTCCTTTCCAGTTTAAGATCAAGACATCACTCGTGCAACTATTGCTTATGTTCGCTCGTAAAAACCCCTCCGTGATGAACAAAAAGCACGTTCCTCTACTGCTAGGTGCGTACGGTGCAACGCTCACCGAAGGCAATCGGTATATTCTGGCCTTGATTCAGTTGTACGAACGGTCAGGCGTCCACATACACGAATACCGCCCATTCCTGTGGGGAGAAACTGCTATCAAACACTTTTCCCTGGGGCAAGATTCAACCGATAAGCAGACACTCTTCCGAATCAACAATTCAGAAGTTTTCAATCTGCTCAACAAGGAAAAACTGCTCAACACACTCAGCAGTTTCCCTATTTGGCGAAAAATGGACGCCGGAGCACAACTTCCGGAAGTGAATTTCGATGATCTAAGGAAGGATCGTGTCCAAATCAGCGGATATCATGCCACAACGGATATTGAGCGCTTCGTTGAAAATGGACACCTCAAAGACAAAAAACCTGCCCCCGACATGTTGTACAATTGTGCTGGTAAACGAGAAGTCCTAGCGGCTATTTACGATCCAGCGTTCCTGTTGCCGATGCTGGGATACCTCTTTGCCCCGGAAAGCTCTGATCTGCTCGATGTTGCCGGCAAGAATGGAGCTCTGGCCCTGCCGTTTGCGTGTCTTGCTAGTGAAGATGAGGTGATGCGGTTGGCTGCTGGTAGTGTCATAGTGCGGATCAAGGGACATTTGGAGCTTTCGAGGTTAGTATTTTCCAGCACCCACATAAATGTTGTAATTATACCCAAACGAAGCATTTCAAATACCATCCCATTACAGAAAATTCATCGACTCCCAATTTTGGTTGCACCTGTTCACTGCCGTCCAAAATGGCCTAGCCACCCTGGGGAAAATCAAACCACCGGGTCAGGATCAACCCGCCACAGTCACGAAGAAAAACCTTTCGAAACCGGCCTTCCTACCAACTCTTTTCATCGGGGAAACAGTCAACATCCTCTCGGACGTCTTGAACGAACTGCACTCCACCCTAACGCACTACTTCCTGCTAAAGGACACATTCGAATTCAAAGCCGTTCCTAACTTTCTAGTTATGTTCCACAGTTCCGAAGTTAAACACAACAACCACCGGGTCTTCATCCTGGAAACAATCTACAATGGTTTAAAAACGCACGACGATTTTATGATCCTCCGCCATTCTCCGGTGATCCGAGCCCTGATGGACTTCTACGGATCTTCGCTGTCCAATCGAGATCTAAACATTCTCATCCTGAACACCCTGAACAGTATCGCCAAAATCCCGAAATCTTGTGAAGTCATGATCAATTCAGTTGGATTCCTGACGTGGTTAAGCGAGCGAATCGAAGGAATCGAGAGCTTCCACTTCGATACCATCGAAGCCTTTCTGGGAATCATAAGCAACATATGGTATTCCGCCCAGATCCAACGGCAGAGCTACAACATGAAACAGTTCAGCCGATCAGTACTGATCATGGTATTGAAATTCCTGCCACTGCTTTCAACCCGAAGTTCCAGTAAGACGCTCACAAGGTTTCTGAATCTGCTAGAAAAGACGACTACGGAAAACGCACGTAATATGGTGCTGGTTAGTGAGGAAGTGCTGGAGCTGATGCTGGCGTACTTTGAGAAGCTGTTCGAACAGCAATTCTGGTACGTTAAGTACGTTAGGACGAATGGAAGTGAAAATGGCCAAGATTGTCAGTCGCTAGGCGAGAAGATGGTGGCGCAGGGTATGGAGCAGAGTACGATTCATGTCGTACTGACGCTGAGAAGATTCGTCATTCGATGGCAGAAGGCTCAGGTAAAAATTAGCAAATAAGCTTAAAGTAAAAGTTTTGATTTTTTCTAGATGTTTACTATTTTATGATGTATAAAATAAGATGTATGTTGGAACAATGTTGGCATTTTTAGTCTAGTTATGAAAGTGAAAGAAATCCTGTATACGAAGCTTGTAGCGGCTGCTTTCCCGGAAACCAGTCCGAGGACCGTTGCAATTCACTGATTTTGACGTAGGACTACGTCTGCGATTTCTATATGGGGGTACACTTTGTGAAAACCAAAAATGGAACATGTAACAAAATTATGAAAGATTTTGAACGTTAATAACTCAGCTGCCCCTAGACCAATTTCAATAATTTGATCACCAATCGATCAGAAATATTTCTACGCATCTGTTAAATTTAAGATTTTATCATGTTTCAAAATGTCACTATTGAAAATTGCTTGAATGTGCAACTACTGCTATGATTATTAAAATGATCACCGATTGCCTGCGAAAAGCAATTTCTCTAACACAGATTTCAAAGTTGAATTCCATCCGGTCTCACCAAACGGTGTTTATTCAATCACCGCGTGTGGTGAGTGGTGGTTTTCTCCAGTACATACCGAAAGGCTCCCCACAAGCAGCTAGCTATCAAGGCTGGCCTCAACCGCTGATCGGATTCAGTTCCAATCATCGTGTGTGGTTGTGTCCGGTCGTCGGCATCAGTAGCAGCAGCACCAGCAGTGCTTTCGGCACGTGGCGTTGAACATTGTTCTCCAGTACACAAGTGCAGCCCACTTAGCATTCATAGAAGGAGGAAGAAGCCGCACCGCTATTGATCGGAATCAGTAGCTCTTCGTGAGTCGCTGTGGGCCATCTATGTCAAGCGCATCATACTAAAGAGTATAAACAAATAGACATGTTTGGTATGCACAGTTGTACACACCAACAGCTCATTTGTTAATAACTTTTCACTCAGTTGTTGAAATTTGTTTTTCTTTAAAGAAATTGATAGATTAGCATAAACAAATACACTTTATTACTAGAATTAAAATCTACTTTTTTTACGTATCTATAACAAGCTTAAACTCTATTCTATCTACTGCTTCTAAAAGAACTATGTTTCGTCAACTGTGTGCAAAGTTATTAGCAAATGAGCAGTTAGTGACCAAAACTATGTATGCCAAGCATGCAAAGAGAACCCCACTCAAATTCCTATTGCTACACAAGTCACAAGCTCCTGCTGCAGTTAACAAATAGGATTTATTATATAAGACCACGTAGTTCTACGTCACCAATGCGTACAACCCCATAGGGCTGTAACTTGTAGTTTTTTTGTATGTGATTAGTGTCAACCATATATTATTTACTTATTTAGTATTTCATCTTCATCTGACTAACAGTCTTAATGAAGTTTCGATGGGGAAAAGCCTGAATGAATGGCGCAAAATCCCATATCTTTTCTCACAACATATACAATAATTTAAAAGCGAATCATACCAAAAATAAACGAAAATAGAATCATAACATAATAATTTAAAATCGTGGACCATATAGCATACAAAATATCGTCCTTGGGCATGCGGTTGTCAGGTGCCAAGCTAAGTCCTCGTCAGAAACATGAAGTCACCAGGGTAGAAAAAAAGAACAGGTACTACAATATTTGCAACGAATAGAGTAGTTCACTTAATGTCATTGCTCAATGTAGCAGCAGAAGCGTTAGTCGAACAGCAAGTACATCTGGTTGAACCTGGCTGACATGATAGGATCATACTGACCATACAAAGCATTGCGAGATTCGAGCATCAAAAAATCACAGTGGCGAAGGATTCGTTACGGTGCGTAAACATTCAGCTGCGCGAGGAACGAACGGTGAAACAGATGTGGGCAGCGCTGGAAAATTCGTTTGCCAAGATATCGCTAGCGACGCAGAACCTGGTATGGAAGCAGCTTGAAAGTTTGAAGATGAAGGAAGGTGAATCAATGCGAAATTATTTGGTGCGTTTTGATGAACTTATCCGGCACCCATATTCTTGTTTTCGTTCGAACCATAATTGGGTGAAAAGGTTTTGGGTAAAAAAGTGAATCAGCCCATCAATCAATATGGTACGAATTAGAAGTCTACTGTATTTGCGTGCGATAAGGATAGATCAAGATCGAAGAAGTTTAATGGCAAGTGCCATAAGTGCGGTAAGAAAGGACACATAAAGAAGGACTGCCAGCAGAAGAGCTACAGTGAAACAAACGTAGCTGCTGGAAGCAAGGCGGCAAGTTACCGTATGCGTGATAATGTTTGCACTAGAAATACTCAGAGGGAGAGATAGGCGGAGATAATGTTTTGAGCCAAATGAACTGCCAAAATCTGAGCCAATCGAACATTCCTATTAGAGTTTTTGTCCGAGGATTTCTCATTCTTATTCATTAAATTTAAGAGTATTGCAATCGAACAGAAATTCAATCACCTTTATGTTTCGTATGCTTCTCAAATTCAACTAGTTTTTGGAATCAAAAACAATATTCTAACTCTATTGATTAATTGATCTTAGTTTGTTTATTAATGGCACCAAGAAATGTGCAAAATATTGCGATGTAATCAATTATTATTTTTCACGCAAATAGAATCAAAAATAAAAGTCATGTAAAATGCTGGCTTCTAGCAAGGGTTGCAAGATATTTTAGTACAAATCCCTGCTACCGAATTGTATTTTGTTTTCTCCGCCTATCTTTCGCTCTGAGTATTTCTAGTTTGCACCATCGTACAAATAAGGTTTCCGTTTCACCTGTGCATACAATGCCTTGGTTTTCTTTGCATGCACGTAACCTATAGCTCATACCGTAGTAGCATAGAGGTAACTCTAAGACTAGAAGGTCCCGAAATAACGTGCTCAACTTTTTGGCTCAGCTCTGGTACCAACAATCAATACGAAACTAACGATTTTAAATTGGCTCACCACTTTAGTAGCCTATTGGTCCCAAGCAAACGATTAACGTACCCTATTCTAGTTGAAATTCTATTACTACACTATTTTTGTTTTGATTCGCTATGAAAGTTTGACAGATAACATCAGGGGTGTGTGGATTCATGCAGAACATGCAGGGGTGAGTGAAATAGCTTGGGACTGCTTGGGACCGTTGTTCTGGTACTGAGTGAGCCAAAAATAATAATGATTTTCTTCGGGACCCAGTGGTCTTAGAGTTACCTCTATGGTAGTAGGCTGTGTATAAAAGAAAATGATTTACTTAGTTTGACAGTTGCACCATAGAGGTAACTCTAAGACTAGAAGGTCCCGAAATAACGTGCTCAACTTTTTTGCTCAGCTCTGGTACTCTCTTCGGTCCCAAGCTAGTCGATTCACCCCTCGAAACATAGGAAAATCCAATAACCCCTCATTTTATCTGTCAAACTTTCATAGCGAATCAAAACAAACATTGTGTAGTAGTAGAATTTCGTCTAGAATGGGGTGCGTTAATCGTTTGCTTGGGACCAATAGGCTAGTCAAGTAGTGAGCCAATTTAAAATCGTTAGCTTCGTATTGATTGTTGGTTGCACCATGACGAAGTGGCAGCGTATTCGTGATTTGTCCCACGCGCAAATGTCGCAAAAAGACATTTCAATCGCCGTGGGAGTGTCCCGGTGGACCGTCAAAAGCGTTTTAGACCGAAAAAAGAAAGGACAACTATCCGCGAAGATGGCCACAGGTCGTCCGAGGTCAGCTCGGGTTCCGAGGGTTAGTGCTGCTATCAAAAGGAAGATTCGGGTGAATCCAGTGCGTTCAATAAGGAAAATGGCAAAGGAACACGGGATCAGTGACTTTACGGCAAGGAAGATCGTAAAGGAAGATTGCGGGGTGAAGTCGAGGGCCCGGAAAAAAAAACTCACATGATTATCAACCGCATCCGGGAGCTACGCGTCGAACGATGCAAGAAAATCTTGAACTTCTTTAAGCGAACAAATTCGGTAATCCTGTTTACCGACGAGAGCATGTTTACCGTCGATCCCGTATCAAATTCCAGAACCGACCGGTATATTAGTTCTCTTCCAGTAAAAAACGTGGCCGACGAGCACAAGAACGTGTATCTGACGAAGTATCTTGCTAGTGTTATGGTGTTTGGATTGGTGGCTTCCGATGGCAAAAAAATGGACCCGGTGTTCATTCCAGAAGGCGATAAGGTCAACACGGAGGTCTACATCGGAATTTTTATTGGGCTGAGCTAGCAGGTGAAACAATAACATCGGAATTAATTGGTTTGATAATAAAAGTAAACTGATTTATTCAACACATGTGTACAGTTCGAGAGAAGAAACGATAGTAAGCAAAATGGGCGATCGCAGTAGACGGTGCGATCGCATAGAAAAGCGTCTCTCATTTTAAGTTGTGCTTTCGCTATGACAGCACGCAAACAAGCTTTGCGCTGCTGGGTTCGGCCGTTTGGGGGTTCGGCAATTGTTGCCTCCCATCCAATACTCCTCCTCAACGGATGCCAGCATCAAAACCAAGCATCGAAGAAAATTTCAATAACTTGATCCTGCCCAACGGTTTGGTAAGTACGTCCGCTACCATCTCTTCAGTCGGACAGTAGACCAACTCAAGAATCTTTCCATCACAATGTTCTTTGACGTAGCATTCTCTAGTCTCGATGTGCTTCGATCGACGACTGCTTCTTTCTGATCCGACAAACTTAATGTAACTCTGGTTGCCTTCCATTATTTTCACCGGTTCCATCACAGGTTCGCCGAATTCCTCCATCAGTTTTCGAAGCCATACTGCCTCCTGACTTCCTTCACTTAGAGCAACGTACTCGGACTCCATCGATGACAAAGTCACGCAGCCCTGCAAACGACTTGCCCAAGACACTGCTGCACCAGCATACAGAAAAACGATGCCTGTCGTTAACTTCCGAGTCTTGAAATCACCAGCCCAGTCTGCGTCGGAATACCCCATCAATTTTCCTTCTGGATCTCCGTACAGCAGACGCCAATGTTTCGTCGCCTTCAAGTATCGGACCACACGCTTGGCTGCTACCCAATCCTCTTCCCGCGGTGCACTAACACTTCTTCCTAATACTGAAGCACTTACTGCAATGTCCGGCCTTGCACAGACTGCAATATACAGTAGAG